TCACTGATGTTGATATTCATTGTGTGTAGTTTTATTTCAGTCCCAGCCTTGTTTCCTTTTATTTTGGAGCTAATGCCAGCTGCGTGTCTAGTTTTGAGTGCAGTAAAATAGAATCAGCAGATCACACTTATTTTTCATCCTTTTCCAGGATTTTTGTTTGTTTCTGTAGCAGCAATGTACACCAACTCTTCCTGTATATTGCCTTTTTGCTGGAAAATGTTGTATGTTGAATAAAATTTTCTATAAAAACTATAAATCAGTGAGTGACGTGGAGGTCGAGGGAGGTCTGTGTCCCCTCTGCTGGTCGTGTTGCTCTCGGACGGTCCTGGTTTCCTGGGGGTTTTGGGATTTTGCTGCTTCCTAGTTCCGTGTAAGCTCAAGCAAGAGGAGGTTTGCTAGGAGGAAGCCGGGCAGGCAGGAGGAGGCTGGAAACACTACGGGAACAGTGGGAGGTGCTGCCCCGGGGAGCCGTGTGCGGCTCACTGCCCGGGCCCACTGTGCCACCCCGCGTGGGTTCCTGGGCTCTGGGCTGGTCTCTGCTGCGGAAGGACTTCGTTTCCGGGTTTCCACGGCCCCGTGTGTGCCTTCGTTCCCCAAGAGCTGCCTCCCGGGGCGTGTGGGCGGCACGTTGCAGGGGTGCCCTCCATGCCCGAGCCCTTCTGCTGGAGGAGGAGGAGGTACGGGCAGGCCAGAGAGGATCTTTTTCTGCGTGTTTGACTTTGGGCATTACACGGTCGATCTCGTGTTTCCGCTTTGGCTGTGGGTCGGTTCTCGTTGGGTAGCTGGCACAGCATTCTCCCTGGAGGTACCAAATGACTACGGAAGCCTGATGGCGTGGACGTGTTCTGCGTTTACTTCTTCATTCCGTCCCAGCTGTGGGGTTGAGCGTCTGAATTCGTAGAACGTTTCTTGGGGTACGGGGTGGAACTGCCTTTAGCTCATTCTAAACCCCGAGGACTTTCCCATCTGTTGGCGGCCGTCAGGGTCCCCAGACGGAGTCCCTTGGGAAGCATGCTGTAACAGGACTGTGACCTGCACGTGGGCGCCATGGGCGGAGAAAAGGCGGGAAGTGCCTTCCCGTGGGGGCAGTGGGGGCATCTTTGGAACGCGTTGCTGGCCTTTCTCGGAGCTCCAAGGCGGCGGTCTCGGGGACCACCGCTTCCGCAGGAAGGGGCGAGTGTTGCTACGGTGGTGAACGGCAGGGTCTGCGTGTGTGCCGCTGGGAGGTGCGGCTTTGGTGTGGAACGAAGCGCCAGGGTGAGGCGCCCCGACCCCAGGTGGGCGATCCGTGCCGGACGGTGGTGAGCGGGGGACAGACAGTGGCGTCTCAGGACCGTGTCTTCCCAGGCAGGCCTCAGCCAGGGCTTTCCCGCCGCCCGGGGACGGAGACCCGTGAGGACGTTGCCGAAGTGCCCGGTGCGAACGCGCGGTGCGGGCGGGGCAGGCGCTGGCTGCGGGGGCCTGTGTGCGGCTCCCGGGCGGCTCTGCTCGGCCCCGCTGCTTGTCTGGGGGCCGCCACCCGCCATACGGCACGCGGGGGAGCCGGGGTTCCAGCAGAACGTGATCAAACCGGGCAAAAGTGGTCAGAGCTCACCGACCCTGACGGTGTGTGTGTGGGGGGGGGGGGGGGGCGGCCCACGCGGGAGAGGCTGCCCGAGAACACCCGTGGCGCCAGGCACGGCCCCTCACGGACACCCCGGGCGCCCGTGTCAGATGTTGTGGAGACCGTCGTGCCCCCGCGGAGTCCCGTTGGGGGCCCCCAGCCTCTCCCCGCATCTTGCCGTGTCTGTGCGAGCTCCGCGCTGTGGAGGAGCCCCCCCTCCTGCCCGCCCGCGTTGGGAGCTCTGTCTGCGCGACCCAGAGCACCGGCCCCGACCCCGAGCACGGGCCCCGGCGGGTGTGCCTGCTGAGCTCCTCGGGTGTTGCCCAAGGGGCTGAGTGGTTTTTTTTTTTTTTTTAAGATTTTATTTATTTATTTGACAGAGAGAGAGATAGCGAGAGCAGGAACACAAGCAGCGGGAGTGGGAGAGGGAGAAGCAGGCTTCCCGCCGAGCAGGGAGCCCGATGCGGGGCTCGATCCCAGGACCCCAGGACCCCAGGATCATGACCTGAGCCGAAGGCAGACGCTTAACGACTGAGCCACCCAGGCGCCCGAGAGTGGTTTTAATTTAACTTAAATCGCAACAAGGGGCTAACCTCTACAAGGTTGGAAAAGGCCGGTCTTTGTTTTTTTAGATTTTATTGGACAGAGCGAGAGAGCACAAGCAGGGGGAGCAGAAGGAGAGGGAGAAGCGGGCTCCCCGCTGAGCAGGGGCTCGATCCCAGGACCCCAGGATGACGACGTGAGCTGAAGGCAGACGCTTAACTGAGCCACCCAGGTGTCGTGGAAACGGCCGTTCTAACCAGACTTTCCCCATGTTCTGGGTTGTTCCAGCAATTAGCTCATTTGGAGCCTCAACTTAAGACCTAAAACACTAGTGGGTTTGCCTGACCTTTTCATGAGAGAGCCTTCCAGAGCTTTCCAGAGCTTTCGTGTACTGGATGGGAGCAAAATTAAATAACCTTTGCCTTGCCGGTGGGGAACGGGAACTTGCGCAGACTCACCCTTCCCGCCTTTCTCTCGGAGGGAGGCTTTGAAGCCAGGCCCGTGGGGGATTTTCAGAGGGCTCAGAGCAAAACTGCAGGGAGGATCCCTACGCATCTGCCCTCCAAACCGCCAGTGGATGGATCCAGGAGTGGGCATGCAGGTGTTCACACCACGATCTGGCCTGAGTTGATACAGACTCGAAGATGTGATAAAATGGGGCGCCTGGGTGGCTCAGTCGTTAAGCGTCTCCCTTCGGCTCAGGTCGTGATCTCAGGGTCCTGGGATCGAGCCCCACGTCGGGCTCTCTGCTCAGCGGGGAGTCTGCTTCTCCCTCTGCCTTCAGCCCCCACTGCTTGTGCCCTCTCTCTCTCATAAATCTTTAAAAGGAAAATGTGTTAAAATGTTGGGAGGGGAAAGTACACTGCCCAGGTGGCCCTCAGGGAAAGGTGCGCACTGGGAGGAGGCGGCCGCGACCCCCCAGCCTGACTCTAGTGAGGTCTTGGGACAGGACCACCGAGGCCCCCTCAGGGTGGGGCCCCACGTCAAGGCAGTGAGGAGGCCCTGGGATCGTGGGCACGGTAGGGAGTGGTGGGGCCGAGCCCCACGGACAGCAATTAGCCCAACCGTTGCTGGAGGAGGGGTCCGTGCAGCTGGACCTTCAGAGGTTTTAAAAAGTCGAAGTCCGGATTTTCATTGTGAATCTCCTGATCTTTAAGTCCACAAATGACATTTTCTTACACTGGGCAGTCAGAAAGGCCCGGGGACTGACTGATGGGCTCACGGCTGGGTGCTGGCCAGAGCTGTGCGGAACCTCGGGGGCCCACGGCCTCAGAAGGGTAGGGTGACAGCTGAACCAGGCCAGGGAAGGAGGACCCCGAACCCCGGCGCCCTGGGGCATCGGAGCAACGCGGCGTGCCCCGTGACAGGTACCTGTCCGAGGACGGAGCACTCCTGTCTGTGGCCCCCTCGGGGAATCCCAGTCAAAACCAGTGAGCTGCGTGCTGGGAGCATGGAACCCAGATAAGGCCCTTGAGGTGAGTTCTGCAGATGCATCCGCTTCCAGCTCAAGACTGGCCTTGGCCTCGTCAGCAGAGCCAGACTGTCCCCACATGGCCCGGGCACCTCTGCACAGGCGTGGAGCTTCTCCAAGCCCAAGATTGGCCCAGTCCCAGTGAAGACGTCTGCTGTGTGCTGGTGGCCGGCAGGCCTGCCCTGGCCCCGCTCACTTCCTTCCCTTGCTGTAACTGTGTCCCGCTGTGGCTGAGACGGCGCCGAGCCCAGGTGGGCAGCCCATCTCCCTGAGTTCACCCGGTGCCCCCACCCCGTCCTGATGAGAGACGGGTCCCTAGGTACTGAGTGCCCACTGTAGGTTGGGTGCTCCAGGGAGACCGGCCCTGGTTTCTGCAGCTGTTGGGTACTGGGGCGGGGGGCCCTCCTGCCCGGGCTTCCGCAGCTATGGGGTGGGGGCACGCTGCCCTCCCGGGGCGGGGGAGGGGAATGCCAAGGAGCATCACAGGAAATGTAGTTTTTTTTTTTTTAATTTTTAACCCAGTTTCCTTTCTTTCCTGCCCCCTAATTCACCCACTTCCTTTCCCTTCTGTAGGAAATTCATTTTCCTTGAAAAGATGGGTGAATAACATTTATTTTGCTAAATAAAATTTCCTCGTCGCGGGGGGGCACCTGGCTGGCTCAGCCGGAAGAGCATGATCTCAGGGTTGTGAGCTGGAGCTCCACATCAGGTGTAGAGATTAATTAAAAACCTTAAAAAAAAAAAAAAAAAAAAAAACCCCAGGGCGCCTGGATGGCTCAGTTGGTTGAGCGACTGCCTTCGGCTCAGGTCATGATCCTGGGGTCCCGGGATCGAGTCCCGCGTCGGGCTCCCTGCTCAGCGGGGGGGTCTGCTGCTCCCTCTGACCCTCTCCCCTCTTGTGCTCTCATTCTCTCAAATAAATAAAATCTTAAAAAAAAAAAAAAAAAACCCCCAAACCAAAAGCTCTCCCTTGGTTGTGCCCCCAGGTTTCCCTATAGGCTCTCCCCAGCCCCACCCCATCCCCTGCAGACCCCGTGTTACCCAGAGGGTATTCTGTTCACCAGCTTGGGGCCTTCGCTGTCCCAAGCATTTGCCTAAGCCCCGCAGATCTGTGAGGCTGTGGATACCGGGGAGTGAGGTGTGGTGCCGGCCCCCCCCCCCCCCCCCCCCCCGCCGGCCGGCTGGAGGTGCCCAAGCTTGAGCTGATGGGAAGGAGCCAGGAAGGGAGGAGTTAACCGCACTCAGGTTTCTGAGGGGTCAGAAGGGGGGCAGGGTACCACGCCCCCCCTTCATTCCCCCATGGCTGCCTGAGCCCTGTGCTAGCCCCGCCCTCCCTGGGCCAGGAGGGACCCCAGCAGGACAGACGTGGGCACACACACAGGGCACTTAATGGACATTTATTTCGCGGACGTTCACAGGCGATGGTAGCGGAAGAGCTCTTGCCGGCACACGGGGCACGTGTGCTTCACGTCCATCAAACTGTCCACACAGAAGGGGAGGAAGCAGCATCCCAGGACGCACCTGCAGCCTCAGGAGAGCGGGGTGTGGGGGTCAGCCCTGAGGTTCCCCCGGGGGGCCCCCTCTGTCCTTGCTCCTGCCTGGCTGCCCCCCCCCCCCCCGCGGGCCCCCGCAGAGGTGAAGGCGGGGGGCACTCACCCAAACACAAAGAGGCTGGTACACAACAGCCAGGTGAGGACCCCTGGGACCGGGCTGGTCACTGTGATGATGTAGTTCCCACAGTAGCGACATATGGACCGTATGGGGGTGGCAGACCCCATCCTAGGCAAGCTGGTGAACACTGCTGGGGGCGGGGGATGGCAGCTCAGACCCTGGCCCCCTCCCCGCCCTCCCGGTGTCCACCACTGGCTGGGCCCTACTGTGTGTTCTCCGTGCTCCCCTGCGCGTCAGGTCCCCCTGGGGGGGTGGGGGGAAGCTCCGACTTCCCCTCACAGTCCCATTTCCCACCACTCACTGCCACTAGCCTTTAGGACCCAGGATCCTCCCTCCGTCAAGACACCCTGTCTCCCCTGGCCAGGACACCCAGGGAATTAGGGAGCATCTCTGTGTTGGAACTGGGCCCCTACAAATCAGCGAGCCCTCCAGGATAGCGTGCTCGTCTGTCCCCTTCCCGGGGTGTCCATGACAGGGCCGAATCCCCGCCCTGGGTAAATAGCTCCGACACCTTGGTGAAGCATAGTGGGAAAGCAACAAAACCGAGAACCCACCTGTTGGCGTTCTCGTGTCTTCCTCTTGCATTTGCACAGTGGGGCCAAAATATGTGTTTAGCTATTTAAACACCACAGCCATTTCTACCATCTTGGGTGTGCGGAGAAAGGAGGACTCTGGTGGTGGCTGAGTTTGTTAAAACAGTCCCAGCGAGCTTTATGTTCTGGCCGAGGGCTCGGGGTCTGGTCTGGATAGGCTGTCTGGAGCTTATGGCCTTGGGGTGTGCCAATCCCTTTGGGGTCAGGGGTGAGGGGGAGCAGGGATCTGGAGCCCCAGAACCTTGGCAGGCAGGGGTGCAGACTCCCTGGGTGAGCAGGGAGCTAAGGCAAGAACTGTGTGGCTTATATGGGTGTCCCCAGTGGTCTCTCCGGCTATGAGGGGGGTCTTCTTCATCCTGCCCACTGGCAACGTACAGCCCAGCCCTGCAGCGCTCGACCCTTGGAGACCTCTGAAGTGTCCTCAGTTCCCTGGCACCCTTGTGAACCTGGGTGGTGGGGGGTGGGGGGCTGCCTTCCCCTCCTCCCGTTGGGGGTGGTGCATGGCGGAGTAGGGAATGGGGTTTCACCGGGATTTCACTCCCAAAGCCTTCCCTGAGCGCCCACCATGGACCAGCCCCCTCCACCACTGATTTCCCGTCAGAGATGGGGCAGCACCAGCCAGCTTGGGGGTCACACAGCAGTGGGGTCCGTGGAGAAGGGCTTTCAGAGGAGGTGCTGTTGGGGCAGAGTCCTGGCGAGTGGTCAGGGTGGTCTGAGCCTGAGCCCAGGAAAACGAGGAGGGGAGGGGGATAGAGGTACTCACCTGGCTGAGCCCCCGGGGGACCTTGGATGTACATGGGGGGAAGAACTGGAGTTCCTGGAGGCGGAGGAAGAGGAGGAGGCTCTTTGGGAGAGAGGAAGGAAACACACCCTCAGATCCCACGGCTTGCTCCGTGCCAGGCGCCCAGCTGACAGCGTGGCCAGCCTGAGGGTGTCACCCACTTTACAGGAGGGCAGGCTGAGGCCTGGAGGAATGAATGTGAGTGGCTGAGGTTTGAACCAGACATTTCCGGCTCCAAATGTGTCCTCGTGTCCTAGGATGTACGAGCTTCCTGGACGCACTGCCAGGAAGCTGAGGATACAAAAAGAGCACGGGGCCCATAATCTCTCTTTAAAAAACTCTGGAGGGGCGCCTGGGTGGCTCAGTCGTTAAGCGTCTGCCTTCGGCTCAGGTCATGATCTCAGGGTCCTGGGATCGAGCCCGCATCGGGCTCCCTGCTCGGCGGGAAGCCTGCTTCTCCCTCTCCCTGCCGGTTCCCCCTGCTTGTGCTGTCAAATAAATAAAATCTTTAAAAAACAGTATCTAGCATTTGTTATGTGCCAAACTCAGCTAAACCTTTGACATACCGCATTCCATTGACTCTTGCCAAAACACTGAAGAGGTAGCCATGTGGTATCATTCCAGTTTTGCAGATGTGGAGACCAGACTCAGAGAGGTTAAGTAACCTGCCCAAGGTCGCCCCGTAGGTACAAAAGGTGAGGATGCCCCCGCCCAGAGCACATGCCACTGCGTGTCAAGCCCGTTGCCTCTGGACAGGACAGCTCCAAGAGGGGCAGGGTTTCATCTACTCCTTCCGAGAAGGACTGTTTGGGCCCCAGGTCTGCCCACATTGCTCCCAACCTTGGTTCCCTCCTGCCCCACAAGGGGCCTTCCACACCGTGTGGACAGCCAGTCTGGCCCCCAGCTCCCAGCCCTTGGTTGATGGATGGGGGTCCATTTCCGTGTCCACGGGGAAGCACACGGACCCTTGGCATGGGGACCGGCCTCTCCCAGGTTAGGGGCCTGGTGGCTTGAAGGGGGCAGCCTGGGGTCCCCCCACCCACAGCCTCTTCCCACAGTGGGGACAGCTGGAGCACAGGAAGCCCCTCCTCACTTTTTGCCACACAGTCTAGACTCCTGGGGACAGGTGCCCCCAGCAGCCCTGCCTGAAGCTGGGTTTTGTACCCATTTTACAGGTGAGGAAAGTGAAGGCCAGGGGTAACCAGTCACTGGGCCTCACAGCCTAGCGGCTGCCAGCCCTCCATCAACCAGCTCTTAATCCTCGCAACCATTTTCCAGATAGAAAACGGATCCAAAGAGATTGAGTGACTTGACCAAGATCTCATCAGCAGGGCCAGGATCCCCCGACCCTGCCAACCCTGCCAGTCTGGGTTGTGTCTGGCCATGAGGGTGGGCAGGGGACAGGAGGGGCAGATCGTACCTGATACGAGGGAGCCATTAGTCTTCTTCCTTGACTTTTTAACACTTTTAAGAGAGGGTAGGGGATGCTGGGGACCCCAGTTTGTCCCACGCTGGGTCACACATTGGGTCCCACGTTCCCCCGGCTGGTGGGGGACAGTAGGAGGACTGGATTCAGCACCCAGCTGAGCAAGGGGACCCAGAGTCTCCTCTCCTGCTTCCCGGGGGCCCTGAAGTCAACTTGTCACCGGGAGGGGGGTGGTACTCTTACCTTGGGGAGGGTTCCATCTTGGTGCCCTGGACGTCCTTTGTTCCAGCAATGGTATCCGGGCAGCATCAAGTTCCGGGTTCTGAGCAGCCAAGCGCTTGTCTCGAGGAGTCCCCATGATGCCACCTGGTTGCCCTGGGACCAGAGTGCTGACCTCCCTGATGCCTCTTCCCAGGCCTGGCTCAGGTGGAAAAGGCATTGTGATGTGCGTCCTCAGGGGACCTAGGGCTGGGCTCTGTCACCTCTCTCTGCAGGAGGAGGGTGGGGCCTCCCAGGGCCTGGCGTGGGAAGCCTTCGGAGGTGGCCCTTCTCCCCCCTGGGGCCCACTGACCTCCTCGGGGGCCCGGCCGAATCCAGCCCTGAGTTCCTGGAGCGCAGGGGCTGGCGGGGGTGGGGCGGCAACCAATCCAGAGACTTAAAAACAGGAATCCGACAAGAGCTAGAGATTCTGCTTTGAGGAAGTCATCCTGATGTGTGTGAACAGCCGGCCGTGTGGATGGCCACGTCCTGTTGAGAAATGTACGGAGGCACATGGATACACACTATATATACACGTGCACACTCATATGTGGTGTCTCCTCACGAGTCCCACCACCGCCCTTGCCTGGTTAGTTGTGTGAGTTCGGGCAAGATGCTGACTTTCTCCAACCCTCCATCCCCTGGCTTCCTCAGCTGTAAAATGGGGATGCTCGTTGCTCCTTAGAGGATTGTTAGGAGATCATATGAGACACAACCCAGGTACTGCGAATGAGGTGAAGATGGTGTTAGTACTGCAAAATGATTACTGGCCGGAATAGCCCAGGAGAGACATTCCCAATTGCAGAGGGCAGCCCGTGTGTCCAGAGCTGGTTCGGGACTCTGGCTAGGAATCACGGCCAGTAAGGACAAGGCTTGGCCAATAAACTGTCACAGAGCATCGGGGAACATTCCAAACGGCCCTGCTCGCCCCCTCAGATTGACAGAGACCAAAAGTTATGGCAAGTCTGGGGGGAGATGAATCTTCCCATAGGACCCGATAAGGGGGATCTGGTGATAAGTCACACTTATAGATGGGGGACCCTTGGGCCCAGCAATACACTTCCTTGAAATCCATCCCAAAGACAGACCAGCAAAAGTATCAAATGACGTTGGGACAAGGCTATTTGATGTAGCAGAAAAGACTCGAAATAATCCAAATGTCCATGCATAGCTACTCAGAAACTACCCAAAGTGAAGGAGGGAAGAAAGGAAAGAGGAGAGAATGAGAGAGAAGAGAAAAGAGGATACATTTCATAAATTCCTATGGTGTAGTCTCTCCAAGATACATTGCTAAAAAACCAAGAAGTTATATATAACTATATATACGGTGGGTGTGTGTGCACGTGCACACGTGTGTAAGGAAATGGGGAGGGATATATATAATTTCCAAGACGAACCTCACCACCTATAATGTAGGAACTCAATAAATACTTATTAATTGAATAAATAAGTACAAATAAAAAAATTTCCAAAACGAAAGAAAAGAACGAGTTTTTAAAAACTAAAGGAGTGTGTACTGTATGATCCTATTTATATGGACTTCCTGATAAGACAAAAGTCATAGAAGCAATCAGAACAGTGCTTGCCAACCAAAACTGATGTTGAGGGAGATGGGGTGGAGGCAGGTTCTCTCTATACCTTGCTTTATAGGTTTGACTTTGGAACCATATCATTACTTTTACTAATTTAAAAGGAAGCATGGACAAAAGAAAAAAGCAACAGCGAACAACGGACGGCAGTGGAAAACAAACAAATGTGGCCATATATCAAGATTTCTTCCATGGGACACAAAGCACAAGCCATAAAAAAAAAAAAACTTGAAAGACGACTTCATCAAAGCACCTGCTCTTCAAAAGACACCGTGGGGGAGAAAAAAAGTTTAGCCACAGGCAGGAAAGCAGTATTTGCAGAACAGGTATACAGAATATAAAAGAACTCCAACTGAACGATGTTAAAAGTGGACAAAAGACCCAAACAGGGGCACCTGCGTGGCTCAGTCAGTTAAGTGACTGCCTTTGGCTCGGGTCATGAGCTCAGGGTCCTGGGATCGAGTCCCATGTGGGGCTCCCTGCTCAGCAGGGAGTCTGCTTCTCCCTCTTCCCTTTCCTGCTCTCTCTAATAAATAAATATTTTTTTTTAAAAAAAAGACCCAAACAGACACTTCACTAAAGAGAACATGGTTGTGGCTAATACATACATGAGAAGGTGTTCAGCATCTCTAGCCACCTAGGAAATGTGAAAACCAAAGGGCCCTCTGGTTAAATTTTTAAAAACAGACAATCCTAAGTGTTGACAAGAATGGGCAACAACTAGAACCCTTATACGCTGCTGGTGTGGGTGCGAAATGCTGCATCACTTTGGAAAGCTGCAGTTTCTTATAAAGGTAAATGCAAGCCCGCCTGTGACCAGCAATTCCACTTCCGGATTTTTGCCCAGGTGAGATAAAAACATATGTTCAAAAAAAAAAGATAAAAAAGACCCGTATGAGATTCATAGTAGCTGTCTTTCTAATTGCCAAAATTTAGAAACAACCTAGATTATCTGTGAACAGGTGAGCGGATAAACATTTATAACAGGGAATACTGCTCAACAGCAAAAGGAAGGAATTATGGATGTACTTGGCAACATGCGTGTGTTGTCAAAAAAGGATTTTGAGCAAAAGAAAAACCCTGACCAAAAACAGTACATAACTGGTGATTCTATTTATTTGCAGTTCTAACGCAGACCAAGCTGAGCCCCGGTGAGGGAACTCAGAACAGCGGTTGCTTCTGGGGTGGGAGTGGAAGGTTGACTGCAAAGGGCACACTAGAATTTCTAAAATGATGGAAAGATGACGGTCATGACTACTTAACTATTCATTTTTCCAAACTCCTGGAGCTTGCACCCCTGGATTGTTAAAAACATCAAAAACTAATGTGGGGCGCCTGGGTGGCTCAGTTGGTTAAGCGACTGCCTTCGGCTCAGGTCATGATCCTGGAGTCCCGGGATGGAGTCCCGCATCGGGCTCCCTGCTCGGCGGGGAGTCTGCTTCTCCCTCTGACCCTCCCCCCTCTCATGTGCTCTCTCTCATTCTCTCTCTCACAAATAAATAAATAAAATCTTAAAAAAAAAAAAAAAAAAAACTAATGTGAAGTAGTGGCAGAGATGACAAGTACCCCAAATTCTCATCATCTGTCATCAGTGGGAGCATCCAAAATCTGGAAGTTTCTTTGCAAAACTAAACATAAACCTGTCTTATGACCCAGATACATCATGCCTAGGTGTGTCCTCAGGAGAAGGGCGACATGTCCGCCAAAAAGATAGACATAAAGGCTCCCAGCAGCTTTATTTAAAATAGCCCCAAACTGGGTACCTGGGCGGCTCTGTCAGTTAAGCGTCAGACTCGGCTCAGGTCACAATCTCAGGGTCATGGGATCGAGCCCCATCTTGGGGCTTAAGAGTCTCTCTCTCTCCCTCTCCCTCTGCCCCTCCCACCTCTCCCTCTCTAAAAAAAATAATAAAAAGAAATTAGTCCCAAACTAGAAACCACTCTGGTGCCCGTAGACAAGAGGATGGATAAACAAACTGTCGTATATTCACAGGCTGCAATACTGCTCACCAATGAGAAGGCACCACTCATGCAGCCACATAAACGAATTGCAAATGCACTGTGTGAAAGAAGCCTCCCACAGGAGTGCGAACTGTATGATCCCATTTATATGGGCTTCCTGCTAAGACAATAGTCATAGACTCAATCAGAACAGTGCCTGCCACAAACAATGAATCATGGAACACTTCATCTAGAACTAATGATGTAATGTATGGGGATTAACATAAGAATTAAAAAAAAAAAAAAAAGAACAGTGCCTGCCAATAGGGGTGTGGATTTATTAACAGAAAGGGCCTGAGGGAACTCTGGGCTGGTAGAGACGTCCCATGTCTTGATAGGGGGTGGCATTACACAGGTGCATGCACTCCTCAAAACTTGCAGAACGGTTCAGTGAGATTTGTGTCTTTCATTACAAACTTTTTCAAAAGCTGCAGATAAATACTGAGTTCTAGTTAATGACCTATGGAAGCTGAAGTGTTCAGGTTTAAAGTGTACTGATGTCTGCAGCTCACTTTTGAAGCCAATGAAAGGAAGGAAGGGTTGATGGATTCTCAGATGGATATCTTGCAAAATGGCGACAGCTGTAGGATCAAGGTGGTGGGTCTGGGGGTGTCCACAATTATTTCCACTTTTACGCTTGCACATTTTTTTTTTTTACAATAAAATGAGGAGGGGGCAAAAAGTAAAGGAAAAAAGAAATCTCTAAAAGTGGAAAACAAAAATGAATGTAACTTGTATGTGAGTTTGATGGCAGGACTATACAGAGCAGACTTATTTAAACGAGGCAGCACAGCACTGTAGTATTCATGGGCAAAATTATACTTGAGCCACAGGATCACTTCTCTGAGATCTCTCTGCCCCCCCCAGGAATGGGCAGCAGCCTGACCCGGGTTAGACCAATCAGATCTCCTTGTGCAGGACCTTGGAACTGGCGCAGAAGCAGACCACGGGTTCCCGCTGTTTGCATGAACGATGGGCATTTAAACCTAGTGGCCATGGGAGAGCTTTCATTACCCACATTTCTAGAAAGGCAGAATGGCACAGCTCACCCTTTTGTGATGGGGATGCAAAAAGCTACATGACAACGGGCATCGAGAGGGAGAATGGGGACCATCGCTACAATCTATTGTATGGAGGAAGAGAGAAGAGTAAGTGCTCAGTGAGCATCTGCTTTACATGTGTATCACGTGTGCAGGCAGCAATACAACTGTCCCCGCCATCTGCTGGCCACAGTTATTCCAGGGGCGGCTCCCACAGCGCCATCTCTGGCCACAGTTACTCCAGAGGTTGGGTTGCTCCAGCAGGGACTGGGAGGGAGAGACTGGGGGTGTGCTCTCAGGCTGCACATCTTCCTCCTTCACGAGATCAACTTCCTCCGAGCATCAGCAACTACCAGGATGCCAGCTGTGAGGTGTGGTAAACCTGAAGCTGCCGTCTTTGAGGGGGGGCAGTCTGGGCATGCGGGTGGGGGTGCATGGCATAGCAGGTGCCCCATACATCATGAGCACAAGAGATTTGTGATTACAACGGTTCCTCAGCTGATGGGGAAAAAAGGGCATCTTGAGGAAGCGCTTCCTTAATTCCCACAAAGGTGCTGTCGTCATGGGCATCACCTCTCTGGTGGGGGCCTGCCTCCAGCCCCACCTCCTTAGCAGTCCCTCTGATCTCTCTCTTACCACTAACTGTGGCACCCACACCCTAGAGTCTTGAAACCTCCGGTCTGGCATTCCTGCCCATGTGCCCAGTCCCTTTTGCCTCCACTTGGGGTCAGCTCATCCTCACTTCTCTGTTCCATGGCAGGGTTCGGGGCATGTCCTCTGGAGCCTGTCCACACCCCTGTATGCCTAGGTGCCTGAGATTTAAGGCTTGCTGCATCCCCCAGAGCCCGGCATGCAGAAGGTGCCCAATTACTATAGGTTGAATGTATGACTGAATGAATGAGTGAATGAACGAAGGAACAAACGAGCTGCATGCTCCTCTCATCCAGGACACCCCATTTGGCTTAAAATCCCCTGGATATCTTACCTCGGGAAACAGGGTCCTTGGACAGGGTTGGGTACAGTCTTCCACTTGGGGGATTTTGGGGTTGGTAGTCCCCCTCACACAGGGTTGAGATCCAGGCTGTGGCTCTGCACTGGGACCCTTTGAGGGTGAATGAATGAGGGAGCTGATGGGCTGGGCCCTCAGCATCGTTTCCCCCCCATCCTGGACACTGCCACCAGGGGGCAGCATCAGGCTGCACAAGTCAGCCTGGCCTCCTCCCTCTGGGCTCTGTGGGTCCCGAGGTCCCCATCCTGCCCCTCCCCTGGGCTCCCACCATCACCCTCCCTGCAGGGCTTTTCCAGTGCTCCCCAAGGCTGCCCTAGGGCTGAGAACTCCTGTCCTACCCTGAATCCCTCAGGCCAGGCTGGAAGGAGAGAGGGCATGAGGCCAGCCCAAGGGTTGGCACCCAGACATAGAGCCCCCCAAGAGGGAGCCAGGAGGCCTGACTGGGCTCCTCGGGGGCCCCTCTGTAAGCATCAGCTCTCCACCAGACTCAGGGCTCCTGGAGGACAGGTTTTTGTTTGTTCATTGTTCACCTTTGAATCCCCAAAATGATGCGGAGCATAAAGGAGGAAGCTGTTAAAGTGTGGGCTCTGTCGCTCGCAACTGTGTGTGACCCCAAGCAGGCATCTCCACCTCCCTGCACGATGGGTCTGATAATAATCCTTGCTGCCAAGAGTGTTAGGAAAATTTCACAGACAGTTTTACCTTGTCGGCTGATCCTTTATGCAGGTCTATGGTCCATTCTATTCCATCCTGCTCCTGGGCATTTGGCACTTGCTGCTCTGCACCCGAATGCTCTTCCGGTGAGCTCTGTCTGGAATGGACAGGTTCATGTATTCGGTTACTTGATCAGTGTCAATTGCCCCTAAAATGTCAGCTCTGTGAGAGCAGGGACCTCATTAGTTTTGTTCATATTTGTCTCTTCAGTACCTACCACAGTACCCAGGACACAGTAGATGCTCAATCAAACTTTGTTGCATGAGTAATGAATGAAAGATATCCACGTGAAGAACCTCACTCTGTGCCTGGCACGTAGAAAGCTTGCAATGCATTCGCAATCAATAATGTTAATAAGCAAGACAATAATAAGCAGAGTCATAAAAGCCAGGGCTGGAGGCAGACCATCCCAGGAATGGCATAAGCCTGGACTTTTGGTAGCTAAGGGTCCTGGGAGGCCCCCTGGTCCTCTCCTGCTGTGTGACCCTGGGCGCCTCACTCACCCTCTCTGGGCTATGCTATCTTCTTGAGCAATAAGGCTCTGCAGCTGGGGCCTGCTTAAAAGAAAAAGGCAATGCAACTTCTTTGTTCTGCTTCCTGCTCATCCTCTCCTCCCAGAAGGGCCCACCTCGGGCAAGGTGACGGGAAGAGAAAGGAATCCGGAGGAATGAGTTGTAATTGTCATTCTTGGGCAGGTGTGGGGTGGGGCTTTCCCCAGAGCCCTCCCTTCCGTCTGCTCTGTCTGCGGGGGCGCCGGGAGCCCTGGGCGGGGACTTGCTGGGTCAACTCGGGGCATCCCCTAACCTCTCTGAGCTAAATTTCCAGCTCTGCCAACCACCCTGTCTGCCTCCTCTTCCGCCCAGCCTGGGGCGAGCTGGGGGCTGGAGGAATGTGAGGAGGTGTGCTGCTAGGGGTACCTCACACCCCAGCCCCCTGCCTACCGGGGCCAGGAAAGGAAAGCGGGGGTTTCTCCTGTCCTGGGTGCCCTTGGAGGCCCTCTCACTGAACAGCAGGCACCTCGATGAGAGGGGGTGACAGGGTTACTGCTTTCCTGGGTGGCTGCCGTCCATCCCCTGCCCTCAGAACTCCAGGACAGAGCCCCCGAGGCCTGCCTGGTGGAGAGGGGGACTTTCTAGACAGAGAAAGCTCTTGGGGTCTGGGGGAGAGCCTCAGGAGCTGTGTGGTGGGGGCGTGTGGTTATGCACGCTTCTGTCTGCGTGTGTTTGCGTGTGTGTGGGGAGATGCTGATGTTGCTCCTGATGTGGGTCCTGTTGGGTCGGGGGCGTGTCTCATCTGCATGCTGTGTTTGTGTGCAGAGCAGGTTTGCACGTGGAGATATTTGTGTGTGTGTGTGTGTCCCTTCACCTGGTGTGGGCCACGTGTCTGGGACTTGCCATGTCTGTGTGTCTGCATGGGAGAGGTACGCAGACGGGGTATCTGGGCATGGGGTGTGTTCACACAGGTGGGCTCCTGGGCCCATCTTTTTTCTCCTTCAGCCAACAGGCATGGCCAACTGACTTGGACCTTGTCCTGAGCAGGTTCCAGCCTCAAGGGCTGCCTGGACGGAGTCAGCCCAGGTGCAGCACTCCACTGGCCTCCCCATGCAACTCCTTCTCAACTGCAGGCTCTCCTGGCTCCACTTTACAGAAGGGTAAACCTAGTCATCTGTCAGGCCCCTCGTCCTTGACATATCTCACTGCATCCCATGACACGGCTGCGGCCCCTATTTCTTCAACGTGTACTTACTGAGCACCTACTATGTGTCAGGCATACGAAACAAAGGGAGGCAGACAAGGTGCCCACCCTGGGGAGCACACATTTTAGGGGTACCATATTTGGTTCAGGGTGGGCAGAGGGTCCCCTCTTCTGAGGTGTAATGACCAGGAAGAGGCAGCCTGGGAAGATGTGGGGGAAGAGAATTTCCAGCTGTGGGAACAGCATGTGCAAAGGCCCTGAGGTACCCGGTGGGGTTGCAGTGGTGGGAGCAGAGGGACATGAGATTGGGCAGAGAGTGCTGAGACCTGGTAAGACCACCTGGGGCTGCTACATGGACGGGCAGTGGCTGGAGGCAGACCAGGAACCTGGACGTGACTGTCCAGAAAGTAGCGGCCCAAAAGAGACAAAGAGCACTAGGCGGGGAAAAGCAGGTGTTCCCAGAGCCCGAGCTCCCATCCCTGCTCCAGCCCAGGGAGGCCCCTCTCTGAGACATCGGGGGGGGGTGGGGGTGGGATGGTGTGTGTGTGTGTGTGTGTGTGTGTGTGTGTGTGTGTGACATATCCCGGGCGAGGGGAGGGAATTCGGTCTAAATGGCTTGGGGAATGAGCACCTTGGGGTGTCACATGGCGACATTCAAATCTCGGCCTGTCCAGTTAGTGCTGTGTGACCTTGGGTAAGTTGCATTGCTGATCTGAGCCCCACTTCCCCATTTGTAGAATGGGACGACAATTTTTCTGGGTTGTGATAAGGCTTTAAGAAGTTCCACTGTGCCGGTCACCAGCTCTGACACACATTATGGTGTCTAGGGTGCTTGGCACATTGTAGGGAGCAGAACTGGGCAGCTCTTGTCATTACGAGGGTGACACCTAGATTTAAGCAAGAAGTGTTTTAAAAAGCAAATAAAAAAAAAAAATGCTTACAGTGTACCAGGCTGTGTCCTAAGCATCCATGAATCTCTCACTTCTACAACATGACCACCTTTACTGAGAGATGTGCTGACGTTGTCCCCGTTTTACAGATGAAAAATGGAGGTGCTGAGAGAGGGGACCTGTTGAAGAGACACCCAGTCCTTGAGGACTCCAGACCTGCCGTTATCAACCCCAGGCATACCACCCCTGTCTTCTACCTGACAGGTCTACACATCCAGCTTGCTCATGCTCCCTACTGGAGTTTTCTTATGTCAAGTCAATCCGAAGTGTTACAGCAGATGAGTCTGGCTTTCATTTAAAGAGCAACAGGGAGTTACAGAAGGGTTTTGAGCAGGGGAAGGACATGGTGACAAAGATTCTCTCCCTGGCCAAACTGTATGTAGGTCCCTCTGAGCCCTCTGCTCTACTAGGCCCGAATGTGAGCCTCTGACCCTGCCCTTGGAGAGTCCAGTTTTGGCAAGAATCCCATCAAGCTGGTTTAGCCAGAATTCCCTACCCTCAAGATCTCACCAAATTCCTCATCCCCTGCCACCTCCCAGGGGATGCCTGATTGCCTTGGCCTGTCTTCGTCTTCTGCAAGAATCCTGCCAGGTCAGCTTAGCCAGAATCCCCCCTTCCCTCCGATACTTTCTCCTAGCAGTTCCCCACTCGCTGACCCCGCTCTTTGGCTATATAAATCCCCACTTTTCCATGCCATATTCGGAGCTGAGCTCCATCTCTCTCCCTTAGGGCAAAGCCCCATAGCCATGGTCCCTGAACCTTCACGACAGTCCTGAATAAAGTCCATCTTACTGTTTTAACAAGTGTCATAAGTTCTTTTTTCTTTAGCAATGGTTGGATTTATGCTTTTGAAAGCTCACTCTGGCTGCTGCATAAGAAACAAGCATGGGCACCGATATTAGGGGGAGGCACAAGCAATGGTAGGAGGCCACTCCTCCTGGTGAGATGGAAGAGGCCCCAGTCATGGTGGGAAGGGACGGGGGGGATGCGGGCAGGTGGGTGGAGAAGTCTCCACTTCATCCCTGCTCTTAGACCTTCCCTGGCTGCCAGCACTCTTAAAGATGAGGCTTCCTAATGGAGACCCATAAATTTAGTCCACTCTGGCTCCTGTTACCATACAGCACACTCCCTCTCCTCTCTCCCTGAGTTCTAGCCCCATCACACTCCTGCCTCAGGGCCTTTGCACTTGCTCTAATCTCCCTCAGGAATGTCTTTTCCTTTGTCTGTTTAATTCCTGATCTTCCAGAAGATCTCAGGCCAACCAGCACTTTCCTGGCTTCTCCATCCCAGTGACTGTCCTTGCTGCGGGTATAGCGGGATTTTATACCATTGTGATTACTGGTTTAACATCTGCCTCCCCTCTTATTTTTTTTCTTTTTTTTTAAGATTTTATTTATTTATGTGAGAGAGAGAAGGAGAGAGAGAGCACAAGCAGGGGGAGCGGCAGAGGGAGAAGGAGAAGCAGGCTCCCCTTCGAGCAAGGAGGAGCAAGGAGCCAGACGTGGGGCTCGATCCCAGGACCCTGAGATCATGACCTGAGCTGAAGGCAGATGCTTAACCGACTGCACCACCCAGGAGTCCCTGCCTCCCCTCTTAAGACTATAACCCCCTGGGGGAGAGGGGACAGAACCCACACAAGTTTTGTTTAGTCTCAGGCTTGGAACAGAGCTCAGGTGCAATAAATATTTGTCAGGTGGCTGAATAGATAATTGGTCCTTATTGGGCTTTTGAAAAGTTAGGCCAGATCTCCTCATCTGCTGCTGGCTCAAGTCTGGCCATTAGGCTAGTGCCATCGGATGGGGTCACAATGGTGGGCTGACGTCTCGGGTTGCAGGCGGCTCAAGCCATGACAATTTGGGAGAGAGAACTCAGCCCTGGGACCGGTCTTATCTGACAGGGCCAAGGGCAGGGCCCTCATTGAGCCACGGAGGCTTACCCAGCCCACCACCTGGCATCCTCCTTATCCACCAGCATGCTGTCTCAACAGGAGGTGACTCCTCCTGGGTGGGTACTGGGTGGGCACTTTTTACTTCTGGATGCTCAGCACCCCAAAGAGAGCCGGGCGGCACACCCAGTGAATGACTGTAGCCCAGAACTGCACCAAACTTGGGTGTGAAATTCTCAGAGACTGTGGTTAGTTGAGAAGAAAGAGAAAGGCTGTTCCTGCTGCTACAACAAAACCACCAGAGACTGGGTGGCCCAAGCAACAAAAATTGACATCTCACAGTTCTGGAGCCTGGGAAGTCCAAGATCAGGGTGCTGGCAATTGGGTTCCTGGTGGAGGACCACCTTCCTGGCTTGTGGACAGCTGTGTTCTTGCTGCGTCCTCAGTGGTCTCTTCTTTGTAGGCAATCAGAGGAGGAATGGAGGGTGAAAGAGGGAGAGATTGAGAGGCAGTTAGTGCTGGATGGGCTTCAGCAGGGCCGAGAGTCCCAGGACAGCTCTGGGATCCCTCCCCACTTCCACCAACATAAGCCTCGGTCCAGGGCTGGGCTCGCCCTTAGGGGCCCCTCTTGGTGGGACGCGCTGTGAAAAGGTGGGGCCAGGGAGGTGTCACTTCTCTGTGCCTCGGTTTCCTCTCCTGTTACACGAGAGTCTTGTCATTTACCTGCACAGACAAGGGACTCAAGGACTCTAGGAGGGAGTGCAAATTAAGAACAAACAAGAGAACAAATCAGTAGCTTTCCCTCTTTTTTTTCTTTGCCTTTTTTTTTTTGCCTTCCTTTCCTCCCCTCTTTTCTTCCCTTCAGTTCTTGGCTTGTTTCCCTTCTACCTCTCTTTTTATTCCTTCTCGACGTTCCTGGAGCTCTTTCTCTCCGCCAAGATGGAGGCGCCCCGGGCCTTCCGCATTCTGGAACGAAGGTCAGCTTCGGGCCGGACCTGCGGCTGGTGGTTAGGGCAGGGACCTGCACGAGCCCTCCACTCCTCAGGGTAGCTTCCCGACCTGACGGGCAGCACCGGCGGGCAGCCCCCGGGCTCCCCCGCCAGTCCCGCGCGCGGACACAAAGCTCCCGTCGGGGCTGCCCCCGCGCGCCGCGTTCCCCGGCCGTCCGGCCTCCGGCCCGCCGCCCCATTGGCTTGGAGCGCGTGGGGGCGGGGCCTCGGCCGGCCCGCCCCCGCGGACCACGCCCCCTCCCCAGCTCCTCGGCTCTCGCAGTCGGAGCTGAGCAGCTGGCGGAGCGGAGCGGATCGCAGGTAGGGAGCTTCTCCGGGTCTGCCGGAGGGGTGTGGCGGGGTGTCTTCTCCGGGGCGGCAGGACCTCGGATCGGACCTCGGACCGGACCTCGGCCTCCTTGCGGCTGCCGCCCGCATCCAGCCCCCTCTTGCAGGGTCTTCCTGGCCGCCGGCAGGGGGCTCCGGGCTGGGTCTCTAGGCCCCGAGGAAATGCCCGGGCCGCCGCGGCCTGTTTGGGGAGAGCAGGTTACTCATCCCGGGGAAGGGGGCGGGTGTGGCAGCAGCGGGAGGGATTTGGGGCGGACGTCGAGCAGCGCTTGCGGCGTGCAGGGACAGCCTCCCCTCGCTTTCACCCGTGGGCTGGACCGCGAGTAGGGGACTCGAGGGGCGGAGCGGGGCGCGCCGCGCGGGGAGGGGGCGCCGACCCCCCAGCCCGGTGGGGCGGCGTGGGCGGTGGGACCCCGGTTGCTGGGGAGGTTGGGGCGGAGGGAGCCGTCCTGGCGCCGCACGATTGGCCGCCTCTGGGGGAGGAGGAGCCGCCGGGCGCTCGTCGAGTGTTTGCGCCCGAATGGGGGGCCTCTGGGCGGAGCAGAAAAACTTCACCCGCGCCCGCAGGCTCCCTCTCCGCGGGCCCCGCCGGCAGCCCGTTTACAGGCCGGAAATGCAGCGTTGTTTTTTGATTTTTTAAAAAAGAAAGCCCCCGGGGGCGCCTGGGTGGCTCAGTCGTTAACCGTCTGCCTTCGGCTCAGGTCATGATCCCAGGGTCCTGGGATCGAGCCCCTCATCCGGCTCCCTGCTCAGCGGGAAGCCTGCTTCTCCCTCTCGCACTCCCCCTGCTTGTGTTCCCTCTCTAGCTGTCTTTCTCTGTCAAATAAATAAAATAAAATCTTAAAAAAAAAAAGAAAAAGAAAAAGAAAGCCCCCGGCCTTCACATCTTATCTGGGGTTGAAGTGGATGTGTGTATGGGTGGGGGGAGCGGGGATCAGCCGGTTCTAGGCAGGGCCTCCGTTCCCGTTGGTGGAGGTGTCTTCACTGCGTAAGAGGAGGCCTCCTGCCTCAGTTTCCCCAGTTTGTAGACTAGTGGTATAACTTCTCTCATAACGGGGTGTGAGAGAATAAAAGGAGGAGGCTAACCCAGCCCCGGGAGAATCATTATCTACTGTCATATATTCTACTTGCTTTTTTGATATTTCTGTCTCCGCCTCCAGTCTGGCCCCTCCAATCCTCTCGCCTCTCCGAAGCCAGAAGGAACTTGTAAAAACAACCGGTTCAAATCAACCCCCGCCTTAAAACCGTCCGCTGCTGTCCCTATTGTCTAAGTCCCAAACTTGTCCACAGGGCTTTCTGTTACCTTCCAAGGCGACCTTCTCCAGGCTCCGCGGCCGCCTACCCCCCCCCCCCACGCCTTTGCCCCTGCAGGTCTCTTGCCAGGAATGACCCCCTCTCCCCCAGAAGTGACCCTTTTAAGACTCAAGGCAGCTTCCCCTCTTCGGCCAGGGCCCTCTCCACCTACTTTTGCGCTCCTGCTCCCCAGGGGGACTTGGTGACGACGGGTTCTCAGTGCTAGGCTGCCCGTCCTCCTGCCCCCACACCCCCAAGTGGCGCGGGAGCACCTCAAGGGCAAGAACAGGGTCCTGTAGCGTGGAGCTGAGCCAGACCCAGCGGGGCCCTGGGGCCTGGGCGGACGTTGAGGGTGGGTTCCCCTGGGAGGGAAACGTCTTTCTTTGTCCCGCGGGGTGGCCAAGTCAGGGCTTTTGGTTTGTGTCTCATCAGCAGGGACAGCAATGGGAGGGATTATTCTAGATCGCCCCATGCCTGACAGTTCCACCATTAGCGGCTCAAGTATTGTTGGCTGAGCCCATTGTAGCTGGCACCGTCTGCACCGCGTCCGGGGGCCTGGGATGCTGCATTACTGTCCCGTTTGACAAATGAGGAAACAGGCGTGGAGCGGTGAGGTCGCTTGCCAGGGGTCACAGGGGGAGTGGAGAGCACAGTCAGGCCTAAAACTCCGGTCAGCCCCCCCCCAGCCCCTCGCGGAGGGGGGAGGGGGTGCTGGAGGCAAGGATGCAATACGGGAATGCGTGACCCCGGGGGTGATGGAGTGCAGAGTCGGCTTCTGGTTACGAGCTGGGGGGTGGGGCGCGGCGCTGGGGGACCTTCTCCGCCGGGCGGAGCTGGTCCCGGCGAGGCCGTCGGGGTGCTCCGGGGCGGGGGTCAGGCGGCCACGCTGGAGGCGCCGCATCGGGTTCCCGGGCCGCCGGTCCTCGGGTTTCTGGCCTCTTCCACCACTCTGGGGCCCCGAGGGGTGGCGGGAGGGCACTTCCCGGCCGGGGGTCTGGCCGCGGGTTGTACCCTCCCGCCTTGTTTGTGTTTCTGCGTCCGGCCCTGCTGGTTCCCGGCAGTGGCTGGCCCGCTGCAGCCCGCCGCCCCCAGCTCCACTGCGCGCCCCTCCCTTGGCCTCCGCCCCTCCCCTGCCTCCCCTCTATCCTCTCCCTCCCCGTCTCCCTCGGCTCTGTCCCGAACAATGGAGTGGGAGGTGGCCGAGGCCCGCTAGGGTCTCCTCCTGGGGCCTCTCTCGCTTCCTGGGACCCCTCTGTCCGGCGGATCGCCCCTCCACCGCCAGCCCTCCGTTCTGCCAGGTGGGGGCCCAGCTGGCCTGGAGGTGGGGAGGAGGTCACGGAGTCTCAGCTTCAGTTTACAGAGGAGGAACCTGGGTGCCCTAGAGTAACTGTGACTCACCCAGAGTCCGCCCCCCAGTTTCCCTTCCAGCCTCTCACACGGGGTTGACACCTGCCAACCCACTGGCTGTGAAGGTGGGCAGGTCGTCAAGCCGCCCCACTCTGGTGCCGTTCTGTTCCATGCACCAGCAGCACCTGCCTCCCCAGAGCGCCTTAGACCTGCCAAATCCCCTTCCCGCCCTTCAGAATCAGAATCTGCATTTTATCACCACCCCACAGACTCATGGAGACCCTAAAGTGTGTGACCCTCTGTGCCTTAGTTTCCCACCTGTAAAACGAGGATGAGAAAAGCACCTCCCCAGCTGTGCCGCCATGGGGATGAATCTGGGGATGAATCTCGTTCGTGGGTGTGAACGCCCAGCAGCCAGCCTGACTCGGAAGTCGGTGGGTGGTGGGCAGTGGACATCGGGTGAATCAAAACACAGCCTCACTCTTTTCCCCTTTCCCCGATGGTGGCTGGTTCTCCAGTGCCCTGCCCCCCTCCTCTTGTGGGCTGGTTCGGGGCCATCCCCACGTGCCAGCAGCGGCCTGGCCCTGCAGCTGGGAAGTGCCCATGCACGATGCCCAGCTCTGGCTTCCCCCAGCCAGAAACCCGCGCAAGGCCCAAGACCCCCAGTTTTCAGCCTAGGCTTGGAGTGGCCTGGCTTTGCCAAGAACCACACTGGGAAAGAAGCACCCAACGTGACTGAACCCAGTTCTTGTTCCCCTAGTCCACCCCTCACCCCCCATCTTCCTGCCCTCGGGGAGAGGTGTGAAAGCTACCAACAATGGAGTCTTGGGAAATAAACTGCAAACTCCCTCTCACTAAAGTGTAAATGACTGAGAAAACACTGCCAAAGCTCCCCTCCCTGTAGTAAGCACCTGGCTCTGGCTTAAGACTGATTCATCCTTGATACAGTTGTTGGCTTTTCAGGGCAGGAGGGCAGGAGGTGGGGGTTCACGGGGGGTCTGCAGGGTTGTCTGGGGTCCCCAGATGGGTGGGTGGGCCGAGGGGAGGGGTTGGGAAGGCCAGAGCCTGGTGCCTGGCTGGACTCTGAGAACCTAATAGGAGGACACACAGGGCATGTGGAAAATTCCCAGGCTATTTTGGGTTGAGGCCCCCTTCTCCACCCTTTGACACACCCCTCCCTGAGGGCAGCCAGGGTGGGAGTGACTTTCTGGCTCCCTCACCTCTAGACCTTGGGTCCCCTTCCCCTGGCTCTGGGCACTGTTTAGAACCTGGGGTGGGAGCTGACTGAGGGAAGGGGAGCATGGCCCCCTGCTTACCCACCTCCTCAGACCACCTGCTTTGAAGATGCATCCCCTCACCCGTGCTCCCCTCCCCTGCCCTGCTTGCTTTTTCTCCAGAACATCTCCCCAGTTTACTTCCTAGCTGGGGGGCCAAGGCAAGCTACTTGACACTTAGTGCCCAGTTTTCCCATCAGCTAAATGGGGATGAACGAGTGGAGATGGGTGAAGGGCCTAGCTCCAGGACACGTTCCTGTCCCGGTGGTGGTGGGTCTCCAGTCCCCGAGCCGATGCTCCGGAGGGCAGGAATTTGCAGCCCTGTGTCCGTTTCCTGTGCATAGTGGGTGGCCTGGCAACTGTTGGAAAGGATGTAGCCTTCGTCAAGGTCCTCGGGTGCCAGTGCAAGCCCCCAGCGTGCTTGGGGGACAGACGCAGCCCCGCCTGGTCCCCTGGTGTGCACACAGCAGCCTGTGACATGCCCTGGCCGGGGACATTTGGGCCACTTTGCTGCCCGTCAGAGGCCCATCCCAGGTCTGGGCTTCAGGCACCTGCTTGCAAACCGCTCCCAGCCGGGGGAGCTGTGGGGAGTTGAGGGGCTCGTGGGCTGGTGGTGGAGGGGGCTGGTCACAGAGGGTGGGCCCCGCCTCTGCCGGGGGGTGTGGCTGGCCCTCTGTACCCCTCTCCCCACCTGTGCTGGAGGGGGGGTCAGCAGCAGCTGCAGGGTTGGCTCCTGGCTGACTGGCTGCCCCCTCCCCCAGCTGTTGTCCTTACAGCTGGACTCTGACCCCTGCCTCCCCCACACAGAGGCCATTCACTCCTCTTTCTGTGCCCGGCGCTGGGGGTGGGCTGGCCCGTGGCCAGGCCTTTTCCAGCTGCCCCAGCTGCTCTCTCAGCTCAGATGGGCTGAGAGAGGCGGGCAGGGCGGTGGTGAAGGCCCCGGGGTCTCCCCAAGCCCCCCACCCCAGCCAGTGGTGCCCTCTGGGCCCCGGTTTCTAACACTGCCGG